AGCACACCAGGAGCTGCACGTGGCTCAATGGAGCACACCAAGAGCTGCACGTGGCTCAATGGAGCACACCAAGAGCTGCACGTGGCTCAATGGAGCACACCAGGAGCTGCACGTGGCTCAATGGAGCACACCAAGAGCTGCACGTGGCTCAATGGAGCACATCAAGAGCTGCACGTGGCTCAATGGAGCTGCACGTGGCTCAATGCAAGCACATCAAGGCTGAGCACACCAAGAGCTGCACATGGCATCACAGAGCTGCACGTGGCTCAATGGAGCACACCAGGAGCTGCACGTGGCTCAATGGAGCACACCAGGAGCTGCACGTGGCTCAATGGAGCACACCAAGGGCTGCACGTGGCTCAATGGAGCTGCACAATGGAGCACATCAAGAGCTGCACGTGGCTCAATGGAGCACACCAAGAGCTGCACGTGGCTCAATGGAGCACACCAGGAGCTGCACGTGGCTCAATGGAGCACACCAAGAGCTGCACGTGGCTCAATGGAGCACACCAAGAGCTGCACGTGGCTCAATGGAGCACACCAAGAGCTGCACAGCCCTTCCAGCTTACAATGCACACCGCATGCTTTCCAGCTGGTTTTCAGATGCACTGCAGCAGAAGAACCTCTTGAGAGCCCTGCCACACGTAGCTTCCTGCTTAACCCACAAACCTACGTGTAAAGGGTAACCCACAAACCTACTGCAGTCCACAGAGCACCTCCGGAGACACAGTTAAACTTTGTGGCTTTGTTTTCCCCTAGAGGGCAAGCATCTGCCGTGGAGAAGCTGCCATTTAAATACATATGTGTGTGTGAACAATCAAAACCAAACACAGCTCCACGGTTGTGTGAGAGGAAGCAGAGTCAGCAGAGCCTGTCTTGGGCACGGTACAGTGCTTTCACGTCCCTTTAAAGTGACTTTAGAAACAGACTGGAAGCCTGAACAGATCAACTGCTCTACAGTTCGTTTCTTCACTTCCCTGACACGCACTCACACTCCACCCAACCTTAAGAGAGATTTTCAGTGCAAAAGTCAAAACCCGACCCAGAAAGCACTCAGGGTAATTCTGAAGCACAGAAACAGAGCAGCAATTCAAACTACATACAGCGACAAGCCTGAACTTAGCACTGGGGCAGGACCATAGACAGGTTTGTGTTGGAAGGGACCTTCAAAGCTCATCTAGTGCAAGCACCCTGCAGCAAGCAGGGACATCTCCAACTAGATCAGTTTGCTCAGAGCCTCATCCAACCTGACCTTCAATATTTCCAGGGATGGGGCACCCACCACCTCTCCGAGCTACCTGTGCCAGTGTCTCATCACATCACTGCAAAATATTTCTTCCCTATATCCAGTCTGAATCTGCCCTCCTTTAGTTTTAAACCATCACCCTTTCTCCTAACACTACATGGCCTACTAAAAAGCCACAACAGGTTGCTTAAGCTTGATTTGTCAGGTGAGGATGACTACTTGGGCCTCTACTAGTCCCTCTCAAAGTTCAGACCCTTCCATACATTAGGATGCTGCTTCCCATTTTCACTAACCAATCCCACCACCCTGGTGGAAAATGCACTGCAAGGCCAGCTGGTAAGTCCACAGAGACCAGGAAAGCACACACCATAGAGCAAGGGATACTTCCTATGCTCTTTACCAGCAGTTTCCTACAGCCAAGAGCCACAGCTTCTTTTACAGTCAATCTGGCAAACTCCTGTTCTGTGGTCCTGCCTCAGGACAAGCTGCTTGGACCAGTGTGCATCACACCACCAAGGTGCTAACAAAGCGGCTCCATCACCAGGGTCCGTGCCACAAACAGCTCTGCTTTCTCCAACTGAACTCAAGGCAAGATGAGCAAGAAGAATGCATCCAGCAGCGATGTGCAAGAGGAGATAAAGGGACACTGCTGCCACATTAGGCAGGATCAAGACCTCTTCCAATGTCAAGCTGAAAACCAGGTTTCACTGTGCAGAGAGAGATATGCAGACCAGTCCAACACAGCTCTCCTTGCCTGGCAGTATGAACTCTCTTTAAGACCCAAGTCTATTCTGACACCTGCAGCACAAGTGCTGCTAAGCCTCATTCAGCTCAGAGCTGCCAGGACAGTTTCAGAAAGAGGAAGCTGGGAGAGCAATAAATATTCTTACACATGTCCTTTGTGGTGGGGCAGAAAACAAGTTTACCAGCTCAAAGGAAAGCTTTTTCCATTCACAATGGAGGAAAAAGATCCTTTCACTCCCCAAATCTGCTTCAAAAGGTCTAAATAGCAGCACCTACAGGGACTCAAGCCCCAACTCACACCCGGCATCTGCAGCAGAGATGGCTGCAACGTGCCTTCTCCACTTACACGAGTGAGCATCAAGGCAAAGCATTACGAATGACTTCAGATGGGATTGCACAATTATCCACACTCCTCCAAGTCCTGACCTCCCTAAGGGCTACTTCTTGCAGAGGAAACTGGATTGCCACACACACACACACCCCTGCTTGGCTTCACTGCCTCTTCTTTCTAGTGCTTGTGTCTCGGCTCTTGCAAGCATCCTTACAGCCAAAGCGCCTCCAAAGCCACCACAGGCACACGGGAAGGGCAACACCTCATTGTCATTTGGTTACCAAATGGGGTAAAGCTGCAACCACAGCAAGCCCCAGGATGTACCGGAACTGGGCCTGGCTACAGGCTTCTTGCTGGAAAAGCAAGAGTGTTTGCAGGCTCAAATGAACTCCGCCATCACTATTGCTTATGGTAGTTGACAGCTAAGATAACCACACTAAGCAGCTTTCCTGACCCCCTGCCAAGGCTGGGCATCATTTACTGTTCACAGCGCATTTCATGTATCCCACAGCAACGGGAGCAACCACACCAGTCATCCCATTCAGACGCTCATGCAACACTAACTTCCTCCTTCGCTGGGTTCTCCTGCCAGCTTGGCAGCAGAGACTCTTTCCACAGCCTCAAGAGACAGAACTACAAGGACACAAACTCTTCCAACAAAAACATATAATCTTACCCTTCCTGCAATGGGCCACACTTGGGAGCCACGTTCTGCACGTGCACTCTGGGAGCACATCCTGAGCACACCCACATGCAAAACTTTGCAGAGCATCGTGTTACTCTGAGCTGGAGTTCCTGGAGATGTGAAAACATCGAGTGCTCTGAACCACACCTGCACAGTTTGGAAACATTAACTATTCAAATTCAGGTGCTCCTCCAGCTGAGCTGGTACTTCAAAGCAGGAGAGCAAAAAGCATTGGCTTGGGTTCAGATGGGAACTGAATTTCCACGCACTGACCTGTAACACCAAGCAAGCTGGCCTGCAACACCCCATTAAAGCAGAAGTGACATACAAACAGCAGAAATCCACCCCCAGGGATGTCACAGTACTGAAGGAAGAAGTACCCAAGAAGGGCTGACACTGACTCCAGTAACAGCAGTGTCCCAGCTTCTGTTTCAGCTGGGGCTGCCTGGCTTGATGATGGACTGATGGAGATGCAGTCAAGGCTCCCAGGTATCTATGAGTCTGGACACACATCACCACCAGCTCAAGAGGCCCCCATCCAGACAGGCCACACGAATAACCCAAAAGCTGCTTCTTAAGTTAGGGTCTAATGTAAAGTCATTGGTAAGCCTGCTACAAGCAGTGTGGGTCAGAAGCCTGCACACGAACAGCCCCACCAGCAGACCTGAGAAACCCTCCAAACATGGGGAGCAAACAGGGCACAGGTAAGAGGCAGTTGGGGTGAATAAGGGACCACCAGCTCAGCTGCAGCCAGAGGAGGTGCTGCGGTTGAGATCCCAGGGCTGCAAACACATCTGCTTTTGGGGGCCCAGCCAGCAGTTTTGGTCACAGCTTCAGACATTGAGCTGATTCACAACGAAACCACAACAGGATCAGCTCTCAGTTTCTCCTCATTAAGCATGAGGCGGTTGATGTGCAAGGAAATATCAGCCCCTGCACCAGGGGGAGGTTAGCTCAGGGTTGATGATTTGCTAAGCAGGGGTTACACAGCCTTCATCCACAGGAGTACTTTGATATGATGAACTGATGTCCTTGCTTTTACCAGACACCCCGTGGAGTTTATGGGACAATTAACCCACATGTGCACATCACTAAGGCGAACAGGCACTCACAACTAGTCCTTACTGTCACTACTTGGTGAAACACAAGCAGTGCTATCAGCTATCACAGGAAGAACTTGCTGCAGAATCCCCTCGCAGCTTGGCGTTAACCGCAGCACTTTGGAAGCGGTTTCCAGAAGGCAGAAAGGGGCAAATGAACCTCAAAACGTGCAGCTACTGAGCCAGGAAACTTGGAAGTTTTAGTTCACCGTCACCACAGGGTTTTAAACAAGGAAAACAGACCGGGTTCTGGCACGTTATCCAGCTTTTGCTAAACCACTTAACCCTAAAGAGAAGCACCACGTTGCTCTGAGGAAAACGCAGCTGCAGCACACACCAGTCAGGTTTCCCAGGTCCTTCTCAGGTTTCAGGGCTCCCCACCTTCTTATTGCTCCTACCACCCCTCCACAGCAACCACATACCCCAGTAACCTCCTTCCCCAGCCTTTCAGCCCCCAGACTTCACAGTTAAAGCAAAGTTAACCACCACATCAAGTCGGGCCACTACGGCTCTAATCAGGCAACGCTGCATCCAGCACCCACCCTGGGATATACTTTTGCTTCTGCCTTGTAAATCCCCACGTTACCCCATTAGCTTTCACACTTCATTAAAATCTTCTGAGCGACTGAGCAATCGCTCATGCAAGCGGAGCCGATTTGAACAGATTACAGCCGCAACTTCGCGGTGCTTCATTACCATCAGCTTAAGGCTGGAAACAAGAGTTTTAAGCAGCAGCAGCAGCATCTGTCGCCCTAACCGCCTGCTCGGCGCCGCGAACAAGCTCCCGCACTCCGCTTTAAACCCCAGCACAGACAACGCAGACCTTGGCGTTTATAAGGAAACGGGTCCCCAGCCACCTGGCAGCGCTGGCCGAGAGGCACCCCCGGTACTCACGCATGAGGGTGCTGAAGGCGCAGAGGGCCAGCAGCGCCTGCAGCAGCACCCCGAAGCGCCCCAGCAGAGCGCCACTGCCGCAGCCGTGAGCGGGGCGCGGGGCCATGGACGGAGCGGGGTGCGGAGCTGCGGGACGGGCTGGAGCAGAGCGGGACGAAGCGGCCCCGGCGCGCACAAAGGCGGCCCCCGAGCAGCCACCGCCCCCCGGCCC